TTTTGAGCAGTGTATTATCATTTTTTTTTTTTTTTTTTTTTGGAGAAGGTCCACTTTGCTTGAATTTTTTTTTTTTTTTTCGTTTTAACTTGAGTTACACTATAAGGACACAAAAATGTGGCATTCACCATTCCAAGGGAGGGATCCATAAAATTATTTGAACTATATGTGGAAAATCTTCTACTGGAATACATCTGATTGCACACTTGTATATACTGCATACAAATGATGTAGAACAGACTTTCCTAAAAGGGCCTGACACTACATTCACCTTGTAGACCCAGCCTAGGGATAGGGATTAGCAAGATTTATGTATACATGAAATGTATATATTAAATATAAATAATCCCGGGATGTGTTTAATTCTCTGGCCATGTGTATGTGCAAGCCTTGACATATGAAATACGTGTTTTGGGCTCTGGTCCTTAGGCAGAAATGGCTTCCCTTCTAGAAAGTCAGGGAAAGCTTGTCATGGGGTTTTATACATATAACAATGTCGTGTGGAAGCAGCCCACACAGGTAGTGATAATCTGTGCATATATCATTCTGCAGTTTTACAACACAGGGACAACTGGCCAAATGAATGGGCTTGAAAAGTCTGCATTAAAGGGGTTTTCTACTTTGATCCTGCACAAGGCTTCTGCTGCACACCCCTCTTGAAAAGCAGCTGATCTCCATGACAGAAATCAAGATTCAAGAATCAGATTTTTTTGTGTTGCCTAGGGCAGCAGAAATTCTAAATATACTCCTAGTTGTGCCCATAAAGCTGCACAACAGCAACTATATGGACACATCATCAGCTATATGGGCAAAACAGCAGATATATGGGAACAATAGCAAAAATATACTATTGTGCCCATATAAATAATATTGTGCCCATAACAATGCTGTTGTGTCCAGTATCCTTAAGCCCAGTGACCCTAACCTTGCATGCAGTGTTCCTTCATGTTGTGGGTCCCACATTGCTGCCAGAACTTTAGAAGAGGCATTGGCTTATGTGGCTGGCTGATGCGTCTGCGGAACTACTGTATCCACAGCTCTGTTCTCTTCACGGCTGATGCTACATGCCTGGAAGTAGTTTCTATGCTTCCCCTGCACCTTCATCTATGGCATGTCATGGCAGGTCAGCAAGCCCAGGTGATCTCCCATTCATCTGGCAGCAAAAGATTGCTAGATCGCGGCCCACGGGTTGCGACCCGGGCCTTACACACTTGTGCCACCCCATGGCGTCCAGGCAAATGTGGTGTTATGGACCTTCTGGTGAGAACTTGAGAGTAGACACTGTTTCTAAGACCACAAACTGAGGGGAATAGTCCCAAAATGTGACCCTTACTATTAAGCATACCAAAAAACTAAATTGACCTACTTGAGATTTTTGAGGTACTAAATGGAAGTCAGACATCTGTCCATAAAAATTAATTTGTTTTATTAAAAACATATTAAAATGTTTGCAACCATAAAAAATAGGGAACAGTCCCAAGGCAGAAAGATGGGTTGTTTGTTCAGGCAATATGCCCAGCAGAATGGAACGACAACAACAACACTAATGAAATCTGGGCAATAAACAGTGCATACAGTAACACAACTTACAAACAAGATAATATCCTAATCACGTATAACGGGTACCCAACAATGTGGTTAAAAGGCAAAGTTTAAACCTGAATTAAAGGGGTTCTCCTTAACTATGGGAGATGCACACAGAGCTATAAAACACAGTACCTACAAATCCCCCTCCCACTGGATATTGGTGAATGCCTGTAGTGGCCGGCATTGGGGCCCAAAGTCTATGTCAAGAGTTTTGCAATCCCAACAAGAAAAAGGAGACACTCTTCCAAACAAATTCCTGGGGTCCCAGAAAAGGGGTAGCACTGTTTCTTTAAGCAGAAATGTGACAAAGATGGTGGCCAAGGCCTCTCACCACTCTGAGATCCATTACAGAAATGTTTTCTTCTCTTGGGGCATCTGGAACAGCACCACTGGATACAAGGGGGGTGGCAGGCAATCTGCCAGCTTATAAGGTTGATGGTGGAAGTCCTGAACTTAGCAACAGTGACCCTGGCTGAAACAACAGACATCCTGGATACAGTTGCTCTTTTTCTCACAACTCCTTGGGCCTTTTGACTTCACATCAACACAGATCTGGACACCACAGCTTCAACAGGACCCTACACAGACAAGGAAACAAGGTTCCTTCAACACCCATGATCCTGAGGAAGTCACGAGGGCGTGACTTAACGTTTAGATGCGGCGTGGTGATGCACTTCCGGTGAGCACCATCTTAGGACTCCAAAGTGTCTGCAGTACACCCATGGTTAGTGGTGTAAAGTGCCTGACATTTTCTACTTAAATGTGAGTTGATTACCTGGCGATTTTTATTCTATTCTACCAATAAATACAATATTGCACTATGGAGGATCTTTGTTGTGTCCTTCTATGATTCCCACATGGTCTTTACGTATTGGTAAGCCTATGGTCACCTGTAGATGGAAGAGGAGCTGGAAGGGAAGGAGAGACCAATAAAGGGCTGTGATATCTAACCTACCTGGAGAATGTGGGCAGAATCCAGGGCGATCCAAAAAGTGTTTTGACCTTTGTAGGGTCACAGCAGGATGGTGAGCGGGCATGCTGGCCATTTAGGATTTACACTCACCGCTTGCACTAACACTGGAGCACCCGTATGAGGAGAAAATTATTGTGTTACTCTTTCCATTAGCATGTATGATGGTACTATATGGACATTAATGTTTTACACTTGATTTATAACAAATGCGAATGGTACACTGAGCACTTGTTGTTTGCAATATATATCCCTGTATAGGGACTCGCCTCCTTTTTTTTGCATATTACACTTGAATATTGGGGATTGGTCCCAGTGAGGGACAAGTTGAAGTCACGCATTTGGGTCCTATTGGACCGCATGTTTTTCTTCTGCACCTTTTCTAAAAGATCCTGGCAGATCTTACGCACCTGTAAGTTTTATAACTGTACATGCGTTTATGTATATTGATCTGTATCCACTGATTTTATAATTATTTGCATGTTAAAATAGCGCTGCGCCATTTTGTTTATTATATTGCATTGTCCTGGTCAGGGGCGGACTGACAACTCATGGGGCCCCCGGGCAATAGGGGATCATGGGGCCCCTGTCTCCTTGCCCAAACTCCAAAAAGTCTATGAAAAAGGTACCAGGGGCATCTCATGGGGCCCCCTACTGACCCCGGGCCCTTGGGCAGTGCCCGAGTTTCCAAATGGTCAGTCCGCCCCTGGTCCTGGTTTAGGTATAGGATAGGGTGTTGGCTGCATATACCATTATTTCTTCACTTTTAGCAGCGTAGGAGGATCTCCACTTACTATTATTATTTTCACCACCCATGGCCTCAAGGCCACCACCCATGGCCTCTGCTCTCTTTCCTTCCTGGGCATGATACTCCTTGGACTTGTAGTCCCATTTAGTCTCTCCTTTTTTCAGACTGCCTTCCAAGGGACTACATCCCCTATCATGCACTCCCTGCTCCTCCTAGCTTGGGAGCTAGATTTTCCTCATCACGCTGTGGCTTCAACCAGTGATGGCTTCCCCTTAAGTGTGGCCTCAGCCATGGTTCAGGCCCCAGCTTGCATCCATCAGTCTCTCTCTACTGCAGCCCACTGCTCAGTCCTACTGCAGCCCAGGAGAGAGATGTCAGTGACAGCTGTGTAGATAGCCTTATCAAAGCCCGAAATTGTGTGACTGTAAGGACAAAGGAGCCACTGGCTAGGACCAGCCTACACCTTTATAGTTTGTAAGGAGGAGGTTTCACCATATAGAATCATGTAACCAGAAGTAGCTGTTCTGTAAAAATCTTATTGAATATGAGTGCTGAATCCAATGGAGTGCTAAGCATGTTTATGCTTTTTTTTTTTTTTTTTTTTTTTTTGACAGCAGGAGGTATGGCATACTGTTGCTTTATGAATTGACACCTAAATGTTATACTGTTAAGGTTTTCAACTACATTACATACAGACAGACAGTCATACTTGGCATCAGGGGCGGACTGGCAACTCATGGGGCCCCCGGGCAATAGGGTATCACAGGGCCCCTGTGACCTTGCCCAAACTCAAAAAAGCCTATGAAAAAGGTACCAGGGGCATCTTATGGGGCCCCCTACTGACCCCGGGCCCTCGGGCAGTGCCTGAGTTTCCAAATGGTCAGTCCACCCCTGCTTGGCATGCATTTTAAAAGATCCTAGCAAGTGTATTTAAATAGCTTATCTTCATGTCTACAAGTTAGGAAATAGTAATCATCTGCCATACAGTTTGAGAAGAGTAATATATATGTGATTTGGACATTTTTTTTTCCAGCAAAACTGGATAGCTTTTAAACTTCCATTATAGGCAAAATACTCCATTTTTTTATGATATTCTATTTTTATATCAAATATTTTCAAATCCAAAGGGATGTATCCAACATCAACGCACACACCTATGAAGAATGAACAAGCACATTCTTTAAATGCCGTGGGCGCTGTGCTCTTTCTTTTTTTAACAAACGGTGACTCACAGATCCCAAAAGATCAAAGCAAAGTATCCCACAAGACAGCCAACAGTTATCATCTATCACAGGGCTGGAAAGTATTGTTTTATTTTTAAGTATTTTATTATCTTCTGTAGAGGCGAGTGGTGAGCAGGGAGGTGTACAGAGGATGTTCAAAGCAGGCCAGAAATATCATGTTACTGCACAGTAAGTATGGGGGAAAAAAGCGAAGAGCAAAGGTTTGGGGTGCATTTTGTCATTATACATTTAAATGCAGGTTTATCTTTAAGTTCAATTTCAGTTTTAAAATTGAAATTAAATTTAGATTTAAATTACTTAGATTGAAATGATTTAGATTTAAATTTGGATTAAAATTAGACTTAAACTTAGTGTCACTAAACCCAGGACCCTGCATTCACTATATCCGCTCTCCCCGGACCCTGCATTCACTATATCCGCTCTCCCCGGACCCTGCATTCACTATATCTGGTCTCCCCGGACCCCGCATTCACTATATCCGCTCTCCCCGGACCCTGCATTCACTATATCCGCTCTCCCCGGACCCTGCATTCACTATATCTGGTCTCCCAGGACCCTGCATTCATTATATCTGGTCTCCCAGGACCCTGCATTCACTATTTCCGGTCTCCCCGGACCCTGCGTTCACTATATCCGCTCTCCCCGGACCCTGCATTCACTATATCCGCTCTCCCCGGACCCTGCATTCATTATATCTGGTCTCCCCGGACCCTGCATTCACTATATCCGGTCTCCCCGGACCCTGCATTCACTATATCCGCTCTTCCCGGACCCTGCATTCACTATATCCGGTCTCCCCGGACCCTGCATTCACTATATCTGGTCTCCCCCGGACCCTGCATTCACTATATCTGCTCTCTCCGGATCCTGCATTCACTATATCTGGTCTTCCCGGACCCGCATTCACTATATCTGGTCTCCCACAGTACACAGAACATGAAAATGCAATTATTTAGAGATAAATATAAACTGCTAAATACCTTTTCACATCAGCAGTTAGAGCCATCCTGTGACTTCTGTCAGTGTCCAGCTGAGCACATGTTAAAGCTTGGAGGAGGAGTTTTCATTCTGCTCTAGGAGGATGCAGGACCCCTGCCCTCTGTCTGGACAGTGCTGATTGGCCCTGTGCTGATCACATGCACTCTCCCAAAGGAAAAAAAAAAAAAAACCTCTCTAGCAAGACACACCAAACTGAGCATGTGCAGAGTAACTCCACACAATATATGTCTTATCAGGAGATAAGAGGGGAGCACTGGAAGAAGGGGAGGATCAGAGAAGGCAGGATCAAACAGCATTTTTACACAATACAGAGGATTACCCCTTGGGTTCCACAGTGAGTATAACAAGCATGCTTTGCTGCATATACAAACTGATTTTACTGTTGTGGGTTTAGTAACACTTAAAATGCAGATTCATTCATAAATAACCGTATTAAGACTTGCAGTTTTATTGTATAAAATACTACACTCTTAAAGTGGTCTTAAAGTGAACTTTTCATAAAGTTGCTAAATTCAAACTGAGCATACAATGCAAAAATGCATAAGGAAAGGTTCATTTCAGTGACCACCAATATCAAAACAATCAGTAGAGTTGAAGAATAGAGACATTTAAAACAAAAGGCACATATCCTTTTTTGCCCCTTTGCCCTGTCCTAACTGATCCCACCCTCCACCTCCAACGGATGGATATTTACCTGACGGCCATGATCTCAGGGGAAATGTTTACATCCATTGTTGTCCAAGTCTTCACTGTCCTGGGTTTGTCTGAGTATTACAGTCCCATAGGTTTCCCTTGGCATCGGAGATGCTGCTCTCTCTTGGTTCTCATCCTACCTATCCCGACGCTCCTTCAGTGTCACCTACAATGGTGCCACCTCCCCCTCCCTCCCCCTCTCTGTTGGGGTCCCCCAAGGCTCTGTCCTTGGACCCCTTCTCTTCTCCATCTACACCTCCTCCCTGGGCAAACTCATACAATCTCACGGCTTCAACTATCACCTCTATGCTGACGACACCCAAATCTACCTCTCCACCCCTCACCTCACCCCCACTATCTCCGCCCGCATCACTCACCTCCTAAATGACATCTCAGACTGGATGTCGCTACATTTCCTCAAGATTAACCTCTCCAAAACCGAGCTTCTCGTCTTTCCCCCTGCCCACAGCCCCCCCCCCCCCCCCCATCCTATCCATCATCACCAACAACTCCACTATCACTTCCGCCCCGCAAGCCAAAGTCCTTGGCGTCATTCTTGACGCGAACCTCTCCCTCCAACCGCATGTCAAATCACTCACAAACACATGCAGGCTCCATCTTCGCAACATTGCCAAGATCCGCTCCTTCCTCACCCCAGACACCACCAAACTTCTAGTACACTCCCTCATCATCTCACGCCTTGACTACTGCAACTCCCTCCTCACTGGCCTACCCAAGTGCAGGTTCTCCCCGCTCCAGACCATCCTGAACTCAGCTGCCAGACTCATCCACCTTACCACCCGCTCCACCTCTGCCACCCCCCTCTGCCTCTCCCTCCACTGGCTCCCGATTGCCCAACGCATCAAATTTAAACTCCTTACCCTGACCTACAAAGCCGTTCACAACACTGCCCCTGACTACCTCACCAATCTGATCACCAGGTACCACCCTACCCGTACCCTTCGCTCCTCACAGGACCTCCTTCTATCCTGCTCCCTGGTCTCCTCCTCCCATGCACGACTGCAGGACTTCTCCAGGTCCTCCCCCATCCTCTGGAACTCACTGCCCCAATCCATCAGACTGTCGCCTTCTCTATTCACATTCAGGCGCTCCCTCAAAACCCATCTCTTCAGGGAAGCCTACCCCACCCTCACCTAACTGCCATCCTCCCTCATTCCTCCTACCACTTCATCCCCCCCAGCCACTTCCTACTGTACCTTTACCCCCTCCCTCCTAGATTGTAAGCTCGTAAGAGTAGGGCCCTCTTACCCCTCGTACGCTGTCTGTCTTTGTTGTACTGTGCCATGTATTGTCCCCCCCTATTGTACAGCGCTGAGCAAACCCTTTGGCGCTATATAAACTCGTAGTAATAATAAATAATAATAGGTTTCAATGGGGCTCATTTACCTTCATCTCCAGCTTTGGGGGGACAGATCTATACACGTATCTGGTGCTCTAATAAGCGGGTGCAGCCAGGAAAGTGAGAACTTGTGGAGCTGGATATAAACAACCAAAGCCACAGCCATCAGACCAGACCTAGGTAAGTATACATCTGTGGAGGGTAGGATGGTCTGGTCAGGGCAACTGAGTGAAACGAACAAGTACACTTCTCTGAATTCATTCTATAAAGATGGTGGAAGCTGAAGCTGTTCTGTTAGGCCCCACCTTCTCTTCATCCTTTTATATAGTGAAAAATTCAAACCCCTGTGGGAGTTAAATACCACCTAAAAGATGCCCCTAAACATCCATGTGCAGGAGGCCTTAGAGTTATCAGCAGTTTAATTATTCGGATGAAGGGGATAGGGCAAGCAGAGCTGGTGCAAGACTATTTTACACCCTAGGCAAGACCATCTACTTGCACCCCCCTCTAAAAAACACTACACCCCACTTCCTACATACACTGCTCCCTTCCTGCACACCCTGCCTCCCTATTTCCCCTGCACCTAAAGCCCCCCTTTAATCCTACACCCCCTTTCCTGCACAAACTTCGCTCCTTCCTGCACACACTGCCCCCCTTTAACCCTTCACCCCTCCTCTCTGTACAAGGGGTTATAAAGGGATATGACTAGGAGTTGATTAGACCACTACCAGTAGATGAGGGGGTGGGATACTGAGAAAAAATGCACGTGGAGTGGATTGCTGGAGATTACTTATTGTATGCCAGGGTGTGAAGTGGACGAAAAAGCTGTGGGAGGCTGAGGGAAGTGGACCTGGTAAATGGCAACAGCAAGTTCATGAAGCAGGTGACCAGTAACAACTGAAGAGGTGTGGCTTGGAAAGTGACATATGGGGGTGAATGAACAGTGATTGGAGATCCGTGATGACAGGGGAGTGGCTTGGGGGAGTGGTAGCCGAGCATTGTGTTATCGGCATTGGTTGCTGGAGCCTGCATTCTTGCACCCTGCACCAGGACTTGTGGGTCTTCCAGATACCAGGATGGGTGCTGGCCCTGGGTGGAGAGTAGGGAAATCAGCAACCGTGGCTGCGCCCAAGGCGGCAGTGAGCCCTAGATGGCTGCCTAGTTCCCTTAGTGGTAACGCCAGCCCTGAGGGCAAGGTGTACTTATGTTCTTTTTTTTTTCCCATAATACATTTTTATTTGGTTTTACAAATATAGTCCCAACAACAAAAGAAACAAAAACAAAAATAGGACAGTGAAAATCTACACAATATCACAGTATAGGTGTTGAGGTAAAGTTCAACAAAGAGAAAAAAAAGGAAATATTGAATAATTCCTAACAGTCCTACTAGTTCCACAAAATAATTTTAGAGTATCCTAAAAAAGGTTAAACATAATATCTTAGGGTATAGTTCTGAACCAGTCAGACCAGGGTTTCCTAGCTTTGTCAAATTTAGTAATTCTATCGTTTAGGTAAGCTAAAGATTTCTCATAGATGAAGTGGGTCTGGACTATCTCAATGACTTCTTTTAGAGAAGGGGCTGTCTTTTTTTCCAGTGTCTAAGAATGGTAACTCTTGATGCTAGAAGAATATGCTCAATCGTATTCAGGTCAGGTGATTGACTTGGCCATTGCATAACATTCCACTTCTTTCCCTTAAACTCTTTGGTTGCTTTTGCAGTATGCTTTTGGTCATTGTCCATCTGCACTGTGAAGCGGCGTCCAGTGAGTTCTGAAGCATTTGGCTGAATATGAGCAGATAATATTGCCCGAAACACTTCAGAATTCATCCGGCTACTTTTGTCAGCAGTCACATCATCAATAAATACAAGAGAACCAGTTCCATTGGCAGCCATACATGCCCACGCCATGACACTACCACCACCATGCTTCACTGATGAGGTGGTATGCTTAGGATCATGAGCAGTTCCTTTCCTTCTCCATACTCTTCTCTTCCCATCACTCTGGTACAAGTTGATCTTGGTCTCATCTATCCATAGGATGTTGTTCCAGAACTGTGAAGGCTTTTTTTAGATGTCGTTTGGCAAACTCTAATCTGGCCTTCCTGTTTTTGAGGCTCACCAATGGTTTACATCTTGTGGTGAACCCTCTGTATTCACTCTGATGAAGTCTTCTCTTGATTGTTGACTTTGACACACATACACCTACCTCCTGGAGAGTGTTCTTGATCTGGCCAACTGTTGTGAAGGGTGTTTTCTTCACCAGGGAAAGAATTCTTCAGTCATCCACCACAGTGGTTTTCCGTGGTCTTCCGGGTCTTTTGGTGTTGCTGAGCTCACCGGTGTGTTCCTTCTTTTTAAGAATGTTCCAAACAGTTGTTTTAGCCACGCCTAATGTTTTTGCCATCTCTCTGATGGGTTTGTTTTGTTTTTTCAGCCTAATGATGGCTTGCTTTACTGATAGTAACAGCTCTTTGGATCTCATCTTGAGAGCTGACAGCAACAGATTCCAAATGCAAATAGCACACTTGAAATGAACTCTGGACCTTTTATCTTCTCATTGTAATTGGGATAATGAGGAAAAAAACACACACCTGGCCATAGAACAGCTGAGAAGCCAATTGTCCCATTAGTTTTGGTCCCTTAACAAGTGGGAGGCACATATGCAAACTGTTGTAATTCCTACACCGTTCACCTGATTTAGATGTAAATACCCTCAAATTAAAGCTGACAGTCTGCAGTTAAAGCACGTCTTGTTCGTTTCATTTCAAATCGATTGTGGTGGTATATAGAGCCAAAAATGTTAGAATTGTGTCGATGTCCCAATATTTATGGCCCTGTTTGTATATTCTCTTTGAGGTATGGATCATAT